TGATAAGTATGGCTATAGGTCACCGCCTCCCTGAACTACCTGTAACAAAATGCATTTAGTAAATTAGTAAGCTTATCACAGATAAACAAGGTATTACCAAATCACGAACCACTCAATGGGTCCTTGTCAACTACTGAAAATAGTTACTTAGATAAAGCCCACGTTCTTCAGCTATTATTTTGAGTTATTTTCAAATTTTCAAGCAGAAAAGCTCAAAGTGTCCTATAGACTAACATTGCAACTTTCCTCAGCCATTAAACAGAGAATGTGATGTCACTCATGTCACATGCAGTTAGTATGAAACTGTCTTATCGTGCCAAAGTAACTACAATGGACTGCAAAAACAAATTTAAAACAGTGCTCAGTGTTACAATAGAAATTGTGAAACTCCCTCCCTAAGAGCGATACAGCACTAAAGAGTTTAGTGTCAAATGGAAGCCTAAACTGTAAACACACATACAACAAATACAGTCCTTGTCAATGTGTGAAGACAAGCATGAAAGCATTTTCCAAAATGTACACACACTATATTGCGGGAAGAATTGAAAATGCTAAGCATACCATATCACAAAGTACCGAATAGATTTCCACAGCAGTTAAATAATAATGAAAAAGATAAAGCATTAAATTCCCTGTTAAAAAAAGTTATTTCAGATACAATTTAATACCCAGATAAATACTGCATCTGTCAGGGGAAAGGGGTTGGGAAAGAGAAAATCTGTTAGAAACTTCATCTCCAACATCAGCTCATATTTGTTTCCTACAAAAAGAACACAATTGTGAGCAACATTTAACATTCAAACAGACAATATCCATTTCCCTGCTAACCCTCAGCTCAGACTTGGAGAAATCACACCAGGGAAATTGTATGGTTTAAAATAGCAGTCTCTAAGCTAGCAGCATTTCCTAAAATGTTTAGGAGGAGGGAAGAAAAAACTGTAGATTAAGGGAATATATAACTTATACAACTGCTCTAAGCATCTGGGTTGCTGGGTGGAACAGAAGTTACCGGAAATCACAGTTACTTTGTATCGATGTGGCATGAAAATGAAGCTCACATACTTCATGATCAATTAATAAAACACAATGAATATCAAACTGATGAGGACAAATCTTTGCAACTACACAACCTGCATCACCCACTGTAGCCATCGACTGCATTGGTACATTGTTTATTGTCATAGAAAATCATTAACCAAGACCATCAGCATTACTTTGTGAAACTACAATTAAAAAGGAACTGACAGTGCTATTATTTTCTGACTAATCTGCCTAGCTAACAAGCTAAGATAATCTAAGAAATCAAATATTGATGTACGATGAATGTCACACTCTGCTCAGCAGAAAGGATGCAACTGTGTTTTTATCTGTCACTTTGCGCAAAGTCTCAGATAATACATTTTTGAAATGGAGGGTTTTCCCCCCTAGTTAGATATCATTGATCATTCTCTCAGGAATGCCAGATAGAAAATACATCCTGAAATACAGTACTATAATTCCACCCATAACTTAAAACTAAGGATGAGCCAAATACAATCTTTTTTGAAAATAAATTCTGACCTCTAAGAAAAGGAATTTTCCATTCAGCATCTTGCCACAGTAAGTTCAAGATTTTAAAGCTGTAGTCTTTCCAGTATAAAATATTACAAATTACATATACAGTACTCAAACTTTAACATGCAAAATCCTCAGTCTGGGATTCAGAAAGTGTATGAAAATCCTGTTTGTCTCTGTAAAACCTCCCCTACAACCAGTCAATTATCACAATTACGCAATGGAAGAAAACTTCAACTTTCGTAAGTTTATACACAGAGGCTGTTATTGGCAATGTATTTTCTGTGGAAAGCCTGGACCAAGAGATACAAAGACAAAACAGCATACAAGCTGATGTTACAACACACTGATCCTTCCCAACTGTGTTCTATACAGTGCTCTGATAAAAGCTACACCAAGATTCAATGAGAATCAGTTTGTTCATAAATACTTGCAATGTGATGGTCACAATTTTCAGCACCAACCTAGTCGGCAATTAAAATGTAGGTCTTACACAAAATCCTTAGGATTAAGATCTTAACCACATAAAACTGCAGCATGCTTAATAATTAATTACCCACTGGATATTATCTAACGGATCAGTAAGCAATTTAAAAGTGAAACAAATTGAAAAACACGTGCACAGACTCATCAAGCTCTGATTTTAACTAAATGAGCATATCTTATCATCTTTAGGGAAAGAGCATCCGATCTCATAATAATAAATAAAACTGCACAAAAAATTATGAACTCAGCTATTTAAAGAATAAAAGGATAAAAATGTTATTAAAAATGCCAGATATAAATATTGGATAGAAATAATAGAAAAATAAAAGTGATTACTAATGATTGTGGGAAAAAATTGGTTATTTCTATAGCATTAAGGTTATAGGTATAAAACAAGGGCTGATGAATCCTAAAACGTATAACTTGTCGTATAGTGCTAAATACAGTTTGAACACTGAGCTGTTTAATAGCTCAACAATCATCAAACCTTTGAGCCATGGATCAATCAATTCTTGATCTCTCTCTCTCTCATATATAAAGGTTAATAGAATTTCTATTCTAGAAGTGCAGGTAATAACACAATATAAATAAATAGTCAAAATTTGTTAAGTGAGTAAGTGAAGCCAAATTAAAAGCAAATAAAGCAACATCACAAAAATAAAGCAAGACAAACTTGAACAATGCTACACTAAAGGAACATCACAAGTGCAAAAGCAGCACCAAATAATACAATACTAAACTAGCAGAAAATATAGCTCAGGTCTTAAAATATCACATAATTCGAATGTTAAACAACAGCTTAAGACTAGAAGACATTACAGGGTTTTAGACTAAAAGACATTACAGATTTTAAACGAAACTGGAGAAAATAGCTACTCTTGTTCCCTTACAGTTTTACATTTTAACTCTTTAATCAGGGCACTGCCAGTTTGGATAATTTAAATTTCCACAAAACTGACACTGTTATCTACAAGATATTTCATCTCATCTATGAAGCACTTTAAAATATTTATATCCATTTGAATCTAAGTGCCAAACAAGCTTATTATCTAGGCTTTCAAATTATGTGCAGGTTTGAGTGTGATGGGGTGGGAGCGGACAGCATGACAAGTAGTGTCTAGATTTAGTGAGAATCTTTTGTTAAAAACAATTTAGTGTTTTGACTACTGCCTTTTAAAAATCAAGATTCCAGTTATGATTGCTCCAAAATTACAACTAACTACATCCAGTCAAAAGTCTATTAGACACAAATTGAATGTGCTTTAAAACAAATAATCTAGGAGTAAATAAAGGAGACAAATTTTCCTTTCAGTTCACCTGCAGCTATTTGTTGTAAATTTTCTGGTGTTACAGAAAGATTACAATATAATTGTGAACAGACATTTTTGGGAGTACAAGGTTGGAGGAAACATTGGTAAGAGCTGGCACCATGTTAACTATATACAGCATTTTAAAATTTCTCCCTGAAAACACTTACATATAGAGCATGTGGTCTTCAAAATGCCAAACATTTTAAACAGTGGTAAGCAGATGTAGTAAAAATTGGCTGAGATGGTGTGTCATGAACCATCAAGTCATGACTTCTCCAACTGAGCAGAAGCTATGTTCCACCTTTTAAAATTGGCATGAGAGCTCAGCTGACATGGTTTAGAACATGAAACCACAGATCCGATCAACAAAAAATTAGCATGACTCAATGTTTTCCTACAACACACCATAGAAGCCATTTGTCTTCTGTTGCATTAGTTTACTGCTTCCACATTCGTAAAATGCAGGCTATCCTAGCACTTCAAGACAACAACTAATTTTAGAATACTGTATGTAGGTGGCATAAAAAAAAAGGATAATTGTGTACACTGCAATCCACCTAGAAGAATGTCCCTTCAAACTATCAAGGTGTGTTCAACATTCCTCACTGACCATTACAAGTTTACTTCCTACAAATAGGGCAACAAATTTAGAAGCTACATAATGGATACAAAAATGCCTATAACGTTCAGAACATTCTAATTAAAACTCAACTTTAATATATAAATTACACATTTGTTTTTAAACTCCAGTGCATCCCACTACTCTCAAAATGACTTTACCGCATGAGGAATGAGAAAAAAATTTGGCTCCACGTACACACAGAGGAATTTGCAACATGTCACCCCTGAATAAGAAGACCCATGTAAATAAACAGGAGAAAGTACATATGGAAGAACTGTGATCTTTATAAAATGTATTAATACACAGGATGTCTTGTTTCAGGTCAATAGTCATTGCATCCAACAAATCTTGAACTAAAATACATGGAAAAACACAAGCAACTTCAGAAATTATTAGCTAATGCACAACTTCTAAAAAGTAGATGAACACCACTGATGATGACTTGAAAGCATTTTGCTCTACTTACATGCTGCCATACAAATGTTTCTTTGCATTTTAAATGAAACCCACTAATGTGCAGTGAAAAACTCAGATGATGGTTGCAGCACATCTTCCCTATACACTACAGTTTTACTACACATATCTTTAATGTGACATGTCCTACCCTATCTCATCTTTCATCTATCAACATGGCCACTGCCATTACAGTTTACTATATAAACTGGTAAACATTTTCTCTCTCAAAGGACTTCAGCAATGCAAGCTGCTGTTTCAATAATGTAAGACAGAGATTATATATATACGTATGTGTGTGTGTGTGTGTGTGTGTGTGTGTGTGTGTGTGTGTGTGTGTGT